AGTAGATGGTTGATCGATAAAAGATGGTTGAGCGATAGTTGGTGTTTGTGGCTTGACTATTCCCTTTTCGCCCGTGATCGTTTGCGTTATTAATTCGACGTTAATATCTGAATTTATACCTGGTTTTTGTTGATCGGTAGCGATAACAATTTTATTATTATAGCCTATCACTTGACCGATCTTAAGTTCCATATTACTCGGGGACATGTATAGTCCCGGCGCATAAACGAAGTCCACTTTGGATTGAGCGTACTGTAATGCATCTTGAAAACGCTTTATAGACGATGGTATGTCAACTGGTGAATTAATGGCGTCCTCCACGTTTGCGACAAACTGTTTTTGTGCATCGAGCGCCATCCCAGTACCGATAATGGATGTTCGTGTTTGCGATTGTGCACCGAGAATTGCCCATACATAAGTTCTTATCGATTCATTAAATCTTACAAATCCTGGGTTAGTAAAATTATTTTCCGTTTTATCATTAAGAAATTCATTCCAAGCGTTTGCGGTATCGTTCATTTGCATAAATTTTGTAACAATATAAGCCAAACCACCCTTAAAACTCATAAGGGAACCTCTCCAATCGTTACTCGAAAGTTCCCAGCCATGATTAAGATTATGCAATCTTACAAAAAGATTGTCTTTCTGTAAGAATTTAAATGGATTGAATGGTTGATGAGTTTTTTTAACTAAATCATCGCTGACTTCTTTAACAGTTCTTTGTCCGCTGTACGGAACACCTAGACCATGGTTTGCTCCTTTAATGCGCCAATCTTTACTCGTAGAAATATTAAATTCATTACAAATACGCTCATACGCGGACCTATCATAATTATTATTTGTGGAATTCCACGCTCGATCCTGCGGTAATGGAGCACTAATTTCTTTAAGTATACGTCTAATCTGATAATACACATGAAATAATAAAACAGACTTATTTAGCATAAATCCTGGGGCATTAACAGATACGCCACATCCCGTTGTGGCACACCATATGGCAAAGTTTAACTGATTCTGCCAAAATTGCATCGGATTGTGAAACCAATCGTGCACCATTTTATCGCTAGTTGCCGTGACCCTGTACTTTTCAAAGATATCTGGGAATTTAACGAAAAATTCAGCACCAGAGGCAGTTACTATAATCGATTGATGAGTAATGTATCTCGATTTCATATTTAAGTTATGATATAGTATCATTGTATATTTAATATGTATGTTACACTACCTGGAATAACAAATGGTCAGTCTATTGAACTGCTTCATACTATCGATAACTCGGATGGACAACTCGAAGTAGCTCTATGCGATGTAAAGTATTACCCGCTGTGGACCAATATAAGTGCTGCGAGAAGAAATAATAGTATAGATATAATAGGTGAAAACAATGGTATTGAAAAATTCATTACTATACCTGATGGGTATTACAGCGTATGCTCACTCAATGATGAAATTTTTAAGCCTAATGGAGCTAGTCTAACACAAAATGAGTCGAATGGGATAGTGAAAGTCGACTCTGGAGAAAACGTTGTAGTTCTTAGGCCATACTTAGAAGTTACACTTGGATTTCATCAAAGAGTAGGAATTATAAATTCTAACAAACCACGACAGGGAATTAAATTACCCGATTTAGTTCCCTATAAAGAGTTGTTCATCCATCTTGATCAAATAAGCACGACGGATAATATTCAACTAGAAAGTCCTTCAACTCTACTCAGAAGTGTTCCAGTGAAAAATGAAAAATATAATAGCGGTAGAACGGAATCTTTCTCGTCATTACAATATAAAAAATTAAAGCGGGGTATTATTTCAGACCTTAAAATTTCTGTATTAGATGTAAAACATCAACCTGTACATATAGGATACTTAAGTGTAACACTCCATATTAAAAATAATGGTTGATGCATCAGGCCCTGGAACAGTAAGACAATGTAATACAATTGCGCTTTCCGATCTCGGAGACACAGAAGGATTTGATAAACCCGGTTACAATGGTAAGTTATATGCTTTACACTTACACGATAATGTATACAAGCGGAAAGAAGTCACATTCACGGGTAATCTAGGAGATTTAAGCGATGTCGATGTTAGTAGACTCCTTAAAAACACTTCGTACAATATTACTCGCAACGACGATAATAAATGGACTATGGTCGAAGCAAACATCGAGTGGCTACTGAATATCGTCATTATCCCACCTTATGTGATGATGGGTAAGGGACATAATTTAACTAAGATAATAAATAGTGGCATCGTACTCGCGGCTTATATCCCGTCAAAACGAAAAAGTGTGTTGGTCACTCCCCTGCCAGAAAACCCAGGTCATATGTTATATAGTCGTCCGTCCTTAAAAAACATTAGTTTAAATTTGGTTACTGAATTCGAAGATATTAAAGTTAACCTGAGTGCAATACCTAATATTTCTACGCTTATTATTGAAGTCTTGTTCGGAGATGTACCGGTAGATGCCTTCGAAATATTACCAGGTCTATCGATTAAATGGCTCAAGAATCACGAGCGTCAACGTTGCAGTATTATTCATATCGGAGCATCGCCCGTTGCAACCCTCGAGGGGGTCCAAATTATTAAAAGTGGTAGTATTTCTCTTACTAAGATATTCTTGCCGTATAATATACATTTAATAAGGTTGATGTATAGTCTCAAAACATTTAAGCAAGACCAATTAAAGACTATTATATGATTGTTATATACACTATGAGTTTATATCCGGCGCTCAATGAAGCATTTGAAAAGATGGAAACTGTTGATGGATTTCGATTACATCAAATAAGCGACATAAAACATCGAATAGAGAAGGATAGGGAGTTGAGACTTGGATTGTATAAAAGGTATCGCAGAGCCGTGAATGCTCTGGACGGAGTTGACACCGCTCTTGTAGCAGCTAGCATGGGACTCGGTGTAGCGGGTATCGGTTTACTATCAACTATAATCGCCGCGCCTATCGTGCTCGGCATGGAAATAACCGCTGGAGTCTCGGGACTGGCAGGAATATCGATAAAATTCATTTCTCGTAGGTTACAAAAGAAAGCATTAAAACACGATAGTATTCGGATACTCGCCGAAGCAAAGTTGAACAGCATTGAGGATCATATTTCGACAGCAATGGCTGATTGTAAGATATCCGAGGATGAGTTTCGTTTAGTGCTGTCGGAGCTTAACAAATACAATAAAATGAAGCAGGAGATTCGATCAAAATCTCGTAAGACCAGTGGTATTAGCGAAGACGAGAAAAAAAAGTTCATAGAAGAGGGGAGGCAACAAGCTCGTCAATTATTCCGTGCCCAAACCAAAGAACTGGTTGGAGATTAAAAATAGATTGCTTACTATCGTGTGATTACATTTAGACAAATGCTAACATAAATATATAATAATGGAGAAAGCTATTCAATGGAAAGAATTACCACAAGGTTTTTATTATATCAGTGATGCCAAACCAACCAAATACGGTTATCAATTGTTTCTTATCAATTTACAAAAAGAGTGTAGTTATATAGTCTGGTCTCCTAGTAAAATGAACGAAGAACTTAATAAAAATGTTGAATATCGCTTTATCGATAAAAATAATGAAGAATATTTTTATTACCATTTAGACTCATCTAAAGCAATGATTGGCCCCAGGTATTGGTGAGCTAGAGCCAATTTAACTGAATCTCATGACTATCATTAAATCGCATCATCATTTTGGTATAAAAAATTCCTCCTGTAGTAGCAGTATAGGTATATGAATCCTGCTCCAGTGGAAGTGGTCCAGAACCCCTATTACCTATACTACTAGTGGTGCAACATGAGGGACATACAGACTATAGTGGGGCAACATGAGGGAGATACAGACTATAGTGGGGCAACATGAGGGAGATACGGACTAAAGTGGGGCAACATGAGGGAGATATAGACTATAGTGGGGCAACATGAGGGAGATACAGACTATAGTGGGGCAACATGAGGGATATACAGACTATAGTGGGGCAACATGAGATGAGGGACATACAGACTATAGTGGGGCAACATGAGGGAGATACAGACTTTAGTGGTGCAACATGAGGGAGATACAGACTATAGTGGGGCAACTTGAGTGAGATACAGACTATAGTGGGGCAACATGAGGGAGATACAGACTTTAGTGGTGCAACATGAGGGAGATACAGACTATAGTGGGGCAACATGAGGGAGATACAGACTATAGTGGGGCAGCCTGACGGAGATACAGACTTTAGTGGTGCAACATGAGGGAGATACAGACTATAGTGGTGCAACATGAGGGACATACAGACTATAGTGGGGCAACATGAGGGAGATACAGACTTTAGTGGGGCAACATGAGGGAGATACAGACTATAGTGGGGCAACATGAGGGAGATACAGACTATAGTGGTGCAACATGAGGGAGATACAGACTTTAGTGGGGCAACATGAGGGAGATACAGACTATAGTGGGGCAACATGAGGGACATACAGACTATAGAGTGGCAACATGAGGGACATACTGACTATAGAGTGACAACAAGAGGGAGATACAGACTATAGTGGGGCAACATGAGGGAGATACAGACTATAGTGGGGCAACATGAGGGAGATACAGACTATAGTGGTGCAACATGAGGGAGATACAGACTATAGTGGTGCAACATGAGGGACATACAGACTATAGTGGGGCAACATGAGGGAGATACAGACTATAGTGGGGCAACATGAGGGAGATACAGACTATAGTGGTGCAACATGAGGGAGATACAGACTTTAGTGGGGCAACATGAGGGAGATACAGACTAGAGTGGTGCAACATGAGGGACATACAGACTATAGAGTGGCAACATGAGGGACATACTGACTATAGTTGGGCAACCTGACGGAGATACAGACTATAATGGGGCAACATGAGGGAAATATGTGTTGGAATGTGGTGGAATGTGTTGGAAATTGGAAATAATGAAACTGATTGTAATATGTGGTAACATTGATAGAATGTTTGATGGTGCTTCCAGAGGTTGATCGACCTTGCTGCCCTGGCCATTCACAACTCGGAGTTGGTTGAGACAGCCCTGCCCCAGGCTGTGTGTTCAGTATTACAGAGGTGAGATGCTACATTAAAGTCACAATCCAATCAGGACAATATTAGATATTTCTTTGTCTGTAATGTGTATGTGATTGTCTGGAGCATCAACCCTATTATGACGAACTTCTTTTACTGATGAAGACAGGGTTAACTTCTGCATTTCAGTTTCTTTATTCAATACAACGTTTAAGGACAGATGCTACCTTTATCAAGCACATGATCAACAATTAGGCACTACATGGTTATAGAATCATATAGCAAATATTACACTTGGCAAAATTAGAGCATAGGTTGGTTTATAAAAAACTCCTCCAAAAGAGAAGAATGTGTTTATTTAAAGAAATTTACTTCTTTTTCAGCAAAGATACCTGTGACTGCTGTAGAGGGGCGCTTTTTGGCCCTGGTCTGAGGATAATTCGACCAGTCACTAACATATTTGGAGTGAAGAACTTGCCTTTTTTGTTTCGATCGTGTTCTACATTGTGTCTGTATGTGTTCAGGCACAGCACAGACACACTAGCCCAGATGCTGTATGGTGGTGATGCCATTAAGGGCCTGTGAACATGCCACCACCACACACACCAGACATATACACTGCTTGGCCTTCGCATGTAGGGATTATATGGCAAATGCATGTCAGATATGACAACAGTAATCATGCAGAAAAGATCAACTGTGTCAGGAGATCTTTGTGAAGGTAAAATGAAAATCTTGGCAGTATCTAAGTCTATGTTAGATTGAACATGATACTTTCAGAAAAAAAAAATTAGCTTTTGATGAATGTGACATATTATACTTGTCAGAAGTGTTTGAAGTCAAAATGAGGATGTTTGACACTTGAAGATTGTTTATAAAATAATGCTTGTTAATAACATTGTTGTCATCTATCATAACCAGTCCTGAACAGGATGCAGGCAAGTGTAACACTTGGTGCTAACAAAAAGGGGACTAATGGAGAGGTACTTATTTATATCAGTTGTCAACATCCAACAAACCTCCTCAACCTGGTGTGTCTTCTGGCTTTCACATATGCCATATTTTCATAGAATTGATTATCCTTTATTAAATTATCCAAAAAATAATTAAGAAACTGATTTACATGCAAATACCTATGGTATTTAAAAACTTTTAAAAAGCTTGTACATTATGTCCCTTTCAACAAACTTTAAGGATATATACCAGTATTGCTGCAGGTATTTGGTGCCTGAGGTTGTCTTTGCCAGTTAAATGCTACTGCTCCATCGTCAGCTATCGTCTCAACAACTACACAGTCTCCGTGAGGATATTCAGTTTCCATAATGAACCAAGTTGAATAGTATCATGGTGCCAGCTTCTGTAAACATCTTCACAGAAGCTACTGGAGCTGAAACTTGTTCACACTTGAATGTGGTCAAGAAGTTCAAATTCAATTTGAAAATGAAATCTTGCCTGCATATTCCCTATAATGACATCATAGTTGGTTGAAATCATCATGGTTTTCTGTTGTGAAAGTTATTTTGTAAAACAAATAATTTCGAAAGCTGAAATTGTCAGTATAAAAAATGGGGGTGGAAAGTGGCTGCAGTGTTGAATTTTGAAATTTCATCGAAAAAATAAATTGTACCAGAAACTTCTTGAAAAAATAATTATGTTTCAGACTGCTGAAGAAAGAGCAACTTTCTGCCACAAAAGTAACATTGTTGCAAGGTGTTTATCTTATAAAAATATTCAGTTGTAATTAATATCTGGTCCATACAAAATCCCAAATACACAAACTAAACGACACCAATTTAAAAAGAGGTCAACATGCACATACATTTGTATATAGAAGCCAGTGTCCCTGCTAAATGTTGCCAGGCAAGTTTGTTAGCTGTTGATTCTCAAATTGAAAAAAATCTGTACGTTCAGCACTAGATTATGAAATCAGTAAATACCCAAACAGATCAATGAACAATTAACAAATTATACAGAAAAACACAGGATTAGGTTACAATCATAAAAGGTAATACAATGACTTTAAAGTTGAATTATCTTTTAAAAGGTATCAGCTACACCCCAGACATACACCTTTTTAGTAAAAATCAAGAAAGTAAAAGAAAAGAAAATTCTCAATTAGAGGAGGTTGTTTTTATTACCGTTGAGTCTGAAAACTCATTAAGCAATAACCATGGACGTATATAGGTTATATAGGTCCTTGCAATAACATATTAATACTTGTTTTCATGTCCGGACATAAGAAAACTCTCCACGACACAAAAAACGTGCCCACGCTTTGCAATCTGAAAACCTACCTGATAGTGAATCTTTATTCAGCCTTTCTAAAACTTTATATGAAGTTTCGGCAGATGATGTCTTTGATATAGACAGCCTACGTGATGTAAACATTGAAGAAAACACAATACTTATTAAGTTAATGCAGCTATAACAGGAGGTGAAATCATAAACTGTGTTCAGAATTGGAAGAATAACAAAGCTGCTGGTCATGATGTTCTGGAAAAAGGTGATTCCTATTTGTAAATACTTTGGTGTTACCTTTTAATTCTTTTGTCCAAATCCACTATAGCAAAGCAATGAAAGCAATGCCTCCATGGTCTAGTGGTAGAGCGTCTGCCTGGACAGATAAAGGTCTAATCATCTAAATTATCTTTCCATGTATATAAGTTATTGTTATTGCAAGAAAACGTTCGGCAAGTTTTATTTAAGTTTCGAACTTGTAGCCATAGCTTATCTGTAGAACCTGGGAGATGGAGAAACATTGAACGGAAAGAAGTGTCCACTTTATAAACTATCTGACACAGGTGGTCAATTCCATTATTTGTTTATTTGTCCACCTTAAAAAATGAAAGAAAACAATTGTTACACAGATTGTACTACCTTAAACCCAATACGTATAAAATGAACTTACTCTTCATTAATCAACGACTAGGAACATTGAGAAAATTGTCCATTTTTCGTAAAACCCTGGTGTCATTGTTTAAACCCCTCAAATAACTCTTTCGCTTTGTAATTGCTCGTACATATATTGTTACCTCAGTGAATCTGCTGAAATGATGTACCCTCTTATGCCGCGGGTAGCGGTCTGAGTGTACAGTAAAGCTCCGGTCAGACAGGCAGTGGACCTTTGAAAGCGCAGCCAGTTCTGCTGGTAGCTGCACCGTACTAGAGACACTGGGTGGGTTGTTCCCACACAGCTATGAGAAGTAAATACGAGCTACTTCCGCTGTGACGGAAAGCCAAGCTGGAGATAGGCAGTAGTTTGAAAAAATATCTGTTTTTGGTGTAAAACACATCTCCAACGAACAAGAGATAACAAACCTGGTCAATGAAAAGGTGAGATTTGTGATAAAACATCTGATATAATGATTTACCATTTAAGTTGTATTTCCTGTACTGCTTGGCATTGTTTTATAAGGATAGCTTAAGATTACTGTGTATACTTGCTCAAAAACTAAGCTGGCACCTTTTCACCCAGATCCACCATTGATTCCATTAAGAAATACCAAAAAATGTAACTTAAAATAATTTTGATGCAATGATCTGTAGAAATTGTGTCTGAAACTATTTGTACCAGGAATAATACATTCCAGTATCATGTTATTTTAGTTGCAGCTATTTTTTTATAAAATAAGTGTAGCACTATTTATGTTGTTGGATATTCATTACGTATGGAAGTTTGGCGAGTCACCGTGGAGGCTTCCCGCGTATTTGCCAATTCGATCGTGAAAACTATGTTAGTAGTCAATAGTCAAATTACAACACATATAATATGTTTATAACGAGTCAAAGTATGGCATTTATGATGTATGTATCCATTTATTGTCAACTTAGGTTCGTTTTAAGGCGCCAACAGCGATAATCTGATCGTGGTTGTTTAACGGTGAGTTGCTGCGAACTGCCGATCAGTTCACACACGATTTCGCCGAAATTAGTGTACTGGTAATCAATATTGTATGTAATTTTGAATATATACTGAACCGCAAAAGAAACGTCACCCCAAGTCACATTGCATGAAAATTTGTCATTTAAATATCTGGGGAATTTTTGTCAAAGTTTCTAAAATTTAACATTACCATGTCCTTACATTTACCTTGAAATTTGATGATAAAAAAACGAAGCAGATGACAATAAAAACGATCGCCCAAACGCATCACGTCATCGGCCATGGTAACCCGATGCACGTGAGTTCCATGCAAACTGAAATGCACATGCGCTCCCCCATTTCTTGCCCTGTAAAAATTTCCCCAGATGAGATAACATTCATTCGTTATTAAATTGCTACCACGTGCCAAGACAAGAAATCAGCGACACGTTATTCGGATGCTTGTGTTTTTGAGAGAGACTCGTTGCTTGGTCCGAGGATCATGGTGTGGGGTGGAATTGGTCTTGCACAGAGGGTCGGCCCTGTGGTCTTCCAGAACATCGGTCCAGGGTGAGGCAATGGTGTCACAGCAGCTCGGTACATTGATCAAGTCTTGAGACCACACGCCATACCTCATTTGGCACGTCGCCGAAGCTTGATATCGCCCATGCCCACACTGGGAGAGCAACAAGCTCAAGAGACTTCCTGAAGCAGAATGGCATCATACGTCCCGATTTAAACGCCATTGAGCACATGTGGGACGAGATTCAAAGACGACTGAATGACGTCCGACTAAGGCCGACAACTGCAGCTGAACTGCGTCAGGCGTTCCCCAGAGTGTGGGCTCAAGTGCCTATGGCCTTCATCAACCGCCTCATCCATTCCATGTATCGACATTGAACGGCAGTCATCAATGCACATGGCGGACACACGCGTACGAGATACTGACTTGTGATGCAATTTTCTCAGAGACTAGTGTTTCACTTTAAGAACATTTGACACCTTAATTTCAACCTTGATGATCAGTTTTACCAAGATTCATCTTTTAAATATCTCTCAAAGTATGTTTACAGTGTTTGGACAAATAAGGTTTCTCATATATCTACCCATGGTGATGTTTTTTTTGCGGTTCAGTATAATTAATACAATAGATTACAAACATTAAGCTATATATATTATATACAATGATCACTTTTTATAAGGATACGTTGACAGGTTGTTTCCGGTGTATGTGCTCACGTTCATGTCTCTGTGTTGCATGGGGGAACACATCAAAACTCATTATGGCGTGTATCATGCCCCCGCCCCTCTACACAACTGTAATATTTTGGTGGAAAAGTGCTCACAATACACAATAGAAAATACTCTACTCCTATTTTGAAGTCTCTATGGGTCCCCCAAGAGAATACCAACATTTACATTTTTTTTAAATCCAGAGACTCGAAGATGCTCTTTATCCCCTTATGGAAGATGCTACAATCATATCTGGTAGCGTGTGTAGGCAAGTGTGATCATTCCGGGGGAGGCACGATGGTATCGCCACTGAAGCCACAATTTGGTGTTTTGTACCAAATATATTTTTTATAATAACCGACCGACTACATGTTTTCACAGAAGATACCAAAAACAATTTAATTAAAATAAATTAGAAAAGATTAATCTGTGCCGATGTATATAATGCTCACCATTGAAACTCACAGTAAAGAAGATAAAACCGTTGTGTATTGCAGTAATGTTATAGATTGTTACATGCTGTTTGCATTGTTGCGGGTTGTTATTGAATATTTAATAGCATGGTGCTGATGCTGGCATGGTGATACTGGCATGCGTGATGCTGGTATGCGTGATGCTGGCATGCTGATATTGGAATGGTGATACTGGCATGCGTGATGCTGGCATGGTCTTACTGGCATGGTCTTACTGGCATGGTGATACTGGCATGGTGATGCTGGCATGCATGATGCTGACATACTGATACTGGCATGCGTGATGCTGGCATGGTGATGCTGGCATGGTGATACTGGCATGCATGATGCTTGCATGCTGATACTGGCATGCGTGATGCTGATACTGGCATGCGTGATACTTGCATGCTGATGCTGGCATGCGTGATTCTGGCATGCTGATGCTGGCATGCGTGATGCTGGCATGCGTGATACTGGCATGCGTGATGCTGGCATGCTGATACTGGCATGCTGATACTGGCATGCTGATACTGGCATGCGTGGTGCTGGCATGCTGATACTGCAATGCGTGATACTGCCATGCGTGATACTGGCATGCGTGATGCTGGCAAGCTGATACTGGCATGCGTGATGCTGGCATGCTGGCATGCTGATACTGGCATGTGTGATGCTGGCATGCGTGATGAGGGCATGGTGATACTGGCATGTGTGATGCTGGCATGGATATACTGGCATGCGTGATACTGGCATGCTGATACTGGCATGCGTGATACTTGCATGCTGATATTGGCATGCGTGATACTGGCGTGCTGATACTGGCATGCTCATGTTGGCATGCGTGATACTTGCATGCTGATACTGGCATGCGTGATTCTGGCATGCTGATGTTGGCATGCGTGGTGCTGGCATGGTGATGCTGGCATGCTGATACTGGCATGCGTGATACTGGCATGCTGATACTGGCATGCTGATACTGGCATGCGTGATACTGGCATGCTGATACTGGCATGCGTGACGCTGGCATGGTGATACTGGCATGTGTGATGCTGACATGGATATACTGGCATGCGTGATACTAGCATGCTGATACTGGCATGCGTGATACTGGCATGCTGATACTGGCATGCGCGATAATGGCATGCGTGATACTGGCATGCGTGATGCTGATACTGGCATGCGTGATACTGGCATGCGTGATACTGGCATGCGTGATGCTGGCATGCTGATAATGGCATGCGTGATACAAGAACTAGATACTAGATTTATCCATTTGTGATGTGCACAATATATGCCTTGTTCGATGTTGATGTAAACACTTATATAAGGTAGTGTTGCAATGCTTATTCATTGACGTTGATGGGTTAATGGATACAACTTGCCATAAAACGCTAATATATGTATTGCCCACGCTTACCAGTGAGATACTTATAGAAAACATGTTATAGTTAATTCGTACGCAAGGAAACACCAACAGGTACAGGAAAGTTGTCTTACCCATACACAAGAGATTGCATAGTTACCATTGTGTCAGGACCAGGTATGTACACGTATGCGAGTGGGTGTACGACCCAAACGACATGTCTCCAACAAACAACACATAACTTGGATCTCCGTCACCACTCACCTCACTCTTTGTTTCAGGCCGAACAGAGGATACCTTTGATGAGTTGTTATAAGAATACATTATATATCTGGTGTGGTTTCCAAACATATATGTGTACAAATAATAGTAACCTATTCTGTCTACCATTCGCGTTCAACAATTTACCATTGTTGTTCAATGTCCAATCTAATGGTACTGGTTGAATGAACACGTGTAAAGCCAATACTTCGGTAATGATAAATGAGAAATGCATAACATGAATATAAAATCTTCTATTTATTTGATAAGAAATCATCTATTTATTTATGTAATAAGAAAATGCAAAAAGTGCTCAAAGATAAAACGTTTGAAAACTTTGAGAAATAACACAAATACGCACGAACGCACGCACACACGCACGCACGCACTCACACTTTTTCATAAATTCTCAAAGGCTGACGTAAATATTTTGTCATGGTTAGGCTGGTATCTGCGCATGTGAAGGGCGAACGTTCACACTGGTTAGAAGTCCAGCACATGCATCGATACCTTCCTATCGCGCCTTACTCATCGAAGTGTGTTCGTTCTAGCGTGTCGGCATGTGTGTATGACTTGTCCATGACTTCTGTGTGAGCCCATAAGGTCAAGGTAGTGCTGGGGCAGCGGCATGCACAGCACGCGGTACCGCCCTGGCGCCAGTTGGAGTCAAAAGGGTCGTATGCCCTCAGCTATGGCATGTCGACGTGTAGTTTTATGCAATAATAGGAAGTATTCTTATGGTACGAGTTTTGTAATTTCCATAGTTTAAGATGGACTGTCGAAGCGCTGCAGAACCGAACCAAGGTGGGGTCTTACTGCGGCGTAGCACCCCCCAAAACCACTTGGGCACCCACCCCCTTTGTTAGCATGGGTTCCTGGACTTGTTAGTTGACAATAATGTTGTGTCAAGAAGACCACAAGGCTTAAGACTACTGGCATACCTATATCCCTAACTTCCACAGATGATCTGACTTCCATCGAAACTTTGATTACCATGTTCTCCAGTAACAGAGGCGGTACGAAAGGTATTAAAATTTAATCAAAAACGTGAAGATGTAAAAGGTGCAAGAATTATGAAACAAGTTGTGAAGACATATGGGGAAAACACAAGTGACTGTGATGCGGCGTTGATGTTAACATTGGTGCCGGAGAGGCAGCGTTTGTAGTAGAAGCCGTCCACCTCCAAACAATAGTGCATCTTATTACAACAGTCGGACGGTCTGCGGCACGTTCCCCAGTAGTTGGAGCAGCATTTGTTGTGCGAGCCACACTTGAGTCTGTCCTCGCATTGGTATGTGTAGAGACAAGGCTGGTGCAGCACGCTCTTGGTGCAGCGGGCGTCGGTGCCGGGGTGGCCTTGTTCGCACCTCCCACTGCAACACTCTTTGTCCGAGCTGCAGCCTTCGTTAGACCATTTGCACAGAAAGCCTAAAGAAAACCCACATTTAGCGCCGAGTATTGTTCTGTTTCAAAATCACATCACATCACATCATTATGTATTATGTATTGGAGAAAACACGCTTACCAGGTTTTGGTAGACAGGGCATGCCCTGGGGGTCGGCAAAAACCGCGGATGCCCTGGGGAGAGGGAAAAACCAAGGGGGCAAAGCTCCCGCGGTTTTTTCCGACCCCCAGGGCATGCTCTGTCTACCAAAACCGAGGGAAAGTGTTTTTCCATACTTATAAACCGAAAAAAGAAACTTAAAACAACATTTACCAACATTTTTATGTTTCGAACATACTTTCCATGAACCTTAGGAAACGCGCGTAAAATATCTGTTGCTGGCGTACGGATCTTGAAAAGGACATTCTAAAAACCAGTGTGGCACTCATGGTACACTCACTGGGCTTCAGATATGAAGGTTGCGAGTTGTTTGATTTTACATTTCATTACATGTTACAATCTGAACGGAAGTTACATAAATAAAATACCCAGGACATTATATAAAATCTCTGGGATATTATAGCTGATATGACTTGAATATCCTATAAAATCCCAGGGACATTACAACGTCCCTTTTTATGAGATTTAACCCGACTGGAAAGTAAAACCTCACAATAGGTTTTAATGCCTATAGAAAGAAGTCTCTTACTTAATAGCGATCCAAATGAATAGGTTTATAAGTAGTTGGCAGGATGAACATTCTGACTAGTGGAGATGACCGGACACTTTAGCCGATGAGGGAGACAGGGAAAAAGGACAACGGATCTCTGACGATATAACCCTTCTAATCTTTTGCAGCACATTACACCATACAACGGATTAGACATATTAATCAAGTCACTCAGTTTGACATTTATTTTTACATTGTAAACTTACGCCATGGCCAAAGATAATTACCACGACTAGCTTTGTCCAGTACATATACTGTCACACTGTGACACGGTGTAATCTACCTTATTTGTTACTGCTGATGTCACATTTGGTTGTGATTGTATTACTACAATGATGAGTTATCTACCTTCTACTGGCAGGATGGTGAAGGCCAGAAACACTGTCACCTGCAATAGCACCGTGGACAGTCGCATCCTGGCAGTCTGGCCTCCAGCATAGCTGTAACAAGACAATATCCAACATACTAAACAACGCCAGCATAGCTGTAACAAGACAATATCCAACATACTAAACAACTCCAGCATAGCTGTAACAAGACAATATCCAACATACTAAACAACTCCAGCATAGCTGTAACAAGACAATATCCAACATACTAAACAACTCCAGCATAGCTGTAACAAGACAATATCCAACATACTAAACAACTCCAGCATAGCTGTAACAAGACAATATCCAACATACTAAACAACTCCAGCATAGCTGTAACAAGACAATATCCAACATACTAAACAACTCCAGCATAGCTGTAACAAGACAATATCCAACATACTAAACAACTCCAGCATAGCTGTAACAAGACAATATCCAACATACTAAACAACTCCAGCATAACTGTAACAAGACAATATCCAACATACTAAACAACTCCAGCATAGCTGTAACAAGACAATATCCAACATACTAAACAACTCCAGCATAGCTGTAACAAGACAATATCCAACATACTAAACAACTCCAGCATAGCTGTAACAAGACAATATCCAACATACTAAACAACTCCAGCATAGCTGTAACAAGACAATATCCAACATACTAAACAACTCCAGCATAGCTGTAACAAGACAATATCCAACATACTAAACAACTCCAGCATAGCTGTAACAAGACAATATCCAACATACTAAACAACTCCAGCATAGCTGTAACAAGACAATATCCAACATACTAAACAACTCCAGCATAGCTGTAACAAGACAATATCCAACATACTAAACAACTCCAGCATAGCTGTAACAAGACAATATCCAACATACTAAACAACTCCAGCATAGCTGTAACAAGACAATATCCAACATACTAAACAACTCCAGCATAGCTGTAACAAGACAATATCCAACATACTAAACAACTCCAGCATAGCTGTAACAAGACAATATCCAACATACTAAACAACTCCAGCATAGCTGTAACAAGACAATATCCAACATACTAAACAACTCCAGCATAGCTGTAACAAGACAATGTCCAACATACTAAACAACTCCAGCATAGCTGTAACAAGACAATATCCAACATACTAAACAACTCCAGCATAGCTGTAACAAGACAATATCCAACATACTAAACAACTCCAGCATAGCTGTAACAAGACAATATCCAACATACTAAACAACTCCAGCATAGCTGTAACAAGACAATATCCAACATACTAAACAACTCCAGCATAGCTGTAACAAGACAATATCCAACATACTAAACAACTCCAGCATAGCTGTAACAAGACAATATCCAACATACTAAACAACTCCAGCATAGCTGTAACAAGACAATATCCAACATACTAAACAACTCCAGCATAGCTGTAACAAGACAATATCCAACATACTAAACAACTCCAGCATAGCTGTAACAAGACAATATCCAACATACTAAACAACTCCAGCATAGCTGTAACAAGACAATATCCAACATACTAAACAACTCCAGCATAGCTGTAACAAGACAATATCCAACATACTAAACAACTCCAGCATAGCTGTAACAAGACAATATCCAACATACTAAACAACTCCAGCATAGCTGTAACAAGACAATATCCAACATACTAAACAACTCCAGCATAGCTGTAACAAGACAATATCCAACATACTAAACAACTCCAGCATAGCTGTAACAAGACAATATCCAACATACTAAACAACTCCAGCATAGCTGTAACAAGACAATATCCAACATACTAAACAACTCCAGCATAGCTGTAACAAGACAATATCCAACATACTAAACAACTCCAGCATAGCTGTAACAAGACAATATCCAACATACTAAACAACTCCAGCATAGCTGTAACAAGACAATATCCAACATACTAAACAACTCCAGCATAGCTGTAACAAGACAATATCCAACATACTAAACAACTCCAGCATAGCTGTAACAAGACAATATCCAACATACTAAACAACTCCAGCATAGCTGTAACAAGACAATATCCAACATACTAAACAACTCCAGCATAGCTGTAACAAGACAATATCCAACATACTAAACAACTCCAGCATAGCTGTAACAAGACAATATCCAACATACTAAACAACTCCAGCATAGCTGTAACAAGACAATATCCAACATACTAAACAACTCCAGCATAGCTGTAACAAGACAATATCCAACATACTAAACAACTCCAGCATAGCTGTAACAAGACAATATCCAACATACTAAACAACTCCAGCATAGCTGTAACAAGACAATATCCAACATACTAAACAACTCCAGCATAGCTGTAACAAGACAATATCCAACATACTAAACAACTCCAGCATAGCTGTAACAAGACAATATCCAACATACTAAACAACTCCAGCATAGCTGTAACAAGACAATATCCAACATACTAAACAACTCCAGCATAGCTGTAACAAGACAATATCCAACATACTAAACAACTCCAGCATAGCTGTAACAAGACAATATCCAACATACTAAACAACTCCAGCATAGCTGTAACAAGACAATATCCAACATACTAAACAACTCCAGCATAGCTGTAACAAGACAATATCCAACATACTAAACAACTCCAGCATAGCTGTAACAAGACAATATCCAACATACTAAACAACTCCAGCATAGCTGTAACAAGACAATATCCAACATACTAAACAACTCCAGCATAGCTGTAACAAGACAATATCCAACATACTAAACAACTCCAGCATAGCTGTAACAAGACAATATCCAACATACTAAACAACTCCAGCATAGCTGTAACAAGACAATATCCAACATACTAAACAACTCCAGCATAGCTGTAACAAGACAATATCCAACATACTAAACAACTCCAGCATAGCTGTAACAAGACAATATCCAACATACTAAACAACTCCAGCATAGCTGTAACAAGACAATATCCAACATACTAAACAACTCCAGCATAGCTGTAACAAGACAATATCCAACATACTAAACAACTCCAGCATAGCTGTAACAAGACAATATCCAACATACTAAACAACTCCAGCATAGCTGTAACAAGACAATATCCAACATACTAAACAACTCCAGCATAGCTGTAACAAGACAATGTCCAACATACTAAACAACTCCAGCATAGCTGTAACAAGACAATGTCCAACATACTAAACAACTCCAGCATAGCTGTAACAAGACAATATCCAACATACTAAACAACTCCAGCATAGCTGTAACAAGACAATATCCAACATACTAAACAACTCCAGCATAGCTGTAACAAGACAATATCCAACATACTAAACAACTCCAGCATAGCTGTAACAAGACAATGTCCAACATACTAAACAACTCCAGCATAGCTGTAACAAGACAATATCCAACATACTAAACAACTCCAGCATAGCTGTAACAAGACAATGTCCAACATACTAAACAACTCCAGCATAGCTGTAACAAGACAATATCCAACATACTAAACAACTCCAGCATAGCTGTAACAAGACAATATCCAACATACTAAACAACTCCAGCATAGCTGTAACAAGACAATATCCAACATACTAAACAACTCCAGCATAGCTGTAACAAGACAATATCCAACATACTAAACAACTCCAGCATAGCTGTAACAAGACAATATCCAACATACTAAACAACTCCAGCATAGCTGTAACAAGACAATATCCAACATACTAAACAACTCCAGCATAGCTGTAACAAGACAATATCCAACATACTAAACAACTCCAGCATAGCTGTAACAAGACAATATCCAACATACTAAACAACTCCAGCATAGCTGTAACAAGACAATATCCAACATACTAAACAACTCCAGCATAGCTGTAACAAGACAATATCCAACATACTAAACAACTCCAGCATAGCTGTAACAAGACAATATCCAACATACTAAACAACTCCAGCATAGCTGTAACAAGACAATATCCAACATACTAAACAACTCCAGCATAGCTGTAACAAGACAATGTCCAACATACTAAACAACTCCAGCATAGCTGTAACAAGACAATATCCAACATACTAAACAACTCCAGCATAGCTGTAACAAGACAATATCCAACATACTAAACAACTCCAGCATAGCTGTAACAAGACAATGTCCAACATACTAAACAACTCCAGCATAGCTGTAACAAGACAATATCCAACATACTAAACAACTCCAGCATAGCTGTAACAAGACAATATCCAACATACTAAACAACTCCAGCATAGCTGTAACAAGACAATATCCAACATACTAAACAACTCCAGCATAGCTGTAACAAGACAATATCCAACATACTAAACAACTCCAGCATAGCTGTAACAAGACAATATCCAACATACTAAACAACTCCAGCATAGCTGTAACAAGACAATATCCAACATACTAAACAACTCCAGCATAGCTGTAACAAGACAATGTCCAACATACTAAACAACTCCAGCATAGCTGTAACAAGACAATATCCAACATACTAAACAACTCCAGCATAGCTGTAACAAGACAATATCCAACATACTAAACAACTCCAGCATAGCTGTAACAAGACAATATCCAACATACTAAACAACTCCAGCATAGCTGTAACAAGACAATATCCAACATACTAAACAACTCCAGCATAGCTGTAACAAGACAATATCCAACATACTAAACAACTCCAGCATAGCTGTAACAAGACAATATCCAACATACTAAACAACTCCAGCATAGCTGTAACAAGACAATATCCAACATACTAAACAACTCCAGCATAGCTGTAACAAGACAATATCCAACATACTAAACAACTCCAGCATAGCTGTAACAAGACAATATCCAACATACTAAACAACTCCAGCATAGCTGTAACAAGACAATATCCAACATACTAAACAACTCCAGCATAGCTGTAACAAGACAATATCCAACATACTAAACAACTCCAGCATAGCTGTAACAAGACAATATCCAACATACTAAACAACTCCAGCATAGCTGTAACAAGACAATATCCAACATACTA